CCAGAGCCAACAGAGAGAGAAAGCCTTCCCCTAAAGCTGGTGCCCTGAATTTGGACTTCTAGACTCCTAAACTGTGAGAAAATAAATTTGTTTGTCAAAGCCATCCACTTGTGGTATTTCTGTTATAGCAGCTCTAGATAACCAAGACAAGAAGTAAACAAATAAACAAGAGAAGCCAAGGTTGGGTAAGTGCTATGAAAAGAATAAGCAGGACTGTGGTCACTAGACTCCAAGATTATCCTGTCTCCTGATATTCATGCCCTTGTATGGTCCCCTCCCACATTATACAAGGTTAGACTCACTGACCAATAGGATACCCCAGAAGTGATCATATGTAATGTCAAAGATCAGGTTGTAGAAAACACTGTGGCTTCTGTTGTCGCTTCTCACGCTCTGTCTCTCTGGAGGAGAAGCCAACCACCATGTCAGGAGGACACTCAGCTAGCCTATGGAGAGTCCACGGGGCAAACAGCTATGTGACTGATCTTGAAAGTGGACCCTCCATCCCCTTCAGGTGACTGCAGCCCCAGGCAACAGCTTGACTGCAACCTCATGAGAGACCCTGAGCCAGAACCACCTTCATCCACATTCCTGGCTCACAGAAAATATGAGACAATAAATGTTTGTTGCTCTAAGCTGCTAAATCTGGGGGCATTTTGTTACATAGCAATAGGTAACTAATACAAGGTCACTAATAGTAATTGTGTTGAAAAAGAGGCATCAGCTAAGCCTGTCCCAGGGACACCAGAGCAAAAAGTCACTTCAGGGGCCCGTTCTTTCTTCACTCATGTGGTGCCTGCAGTAACAAAAATGATAAAAATTTGCAGCTAATGTTACTGAGCATTTCGCTCAGTGCTTGCCACGTAGGCAGGGCTTCATGTGAACTATCTTATTAAACCCTCAGCAGCTCTCAAGAGGTAGATGCAAACACATGAAAATTACAACAAATGTCTACCACATTAGTGTTACTGGAGGAGAGGGGGTAATAATCATATAGGAAATTGGGTCTTAGTTCCAGGGATTTACTCAAGAGAGTTTCACTCCAGAAGACATACTAACAGTTGCTGTAATTCCCTTGCCTCCAGGCAATACCTTCCCTACTGTTTATCTGACCTGTATCTGTCCTCCTAAAACCTGCTCATATTCCATGGCCTATAGGACGTCTTTGTCACTATACCATTTATTCTCACTGCTCCAGGCTTTGAAATCTTATTAGAGTTAGTATCAACATTCACATGTATTAATCTCATCTACCCAGAAGAAAAGATGGGGGTTTTTCTTTGTGTCTAGTATCATTCCCCAAAGACAAAGGTCTTAATAGATAGGTAGATAGGTAGATACAACTATCAGGTATAGATATATACACAGAAAAACAGGCTCATCACCTATATTGAAGCTAGGTGAACTGTGCATTTCTCTGCATCTTGCTAATGAAAGATGCAGCCCCTACACCTTAAGGGGCCATTACTCTATGCTTTAATTCTCATGGTGGAGTGTGTACTCAAAAAAAGTTTTAAGTCAAAGTTTCTACTTCTACGAAGTCTGTTAGAATTTAAACTATACATGGATATGGACCTAGGTGACTTCATTTTCTGAAAAGACCTATCATTATTATTTTATAGCACTTATACAGAAAATAATTAAAAGAAGCAAGGTCTATCTAAAATGGCCAAATTAATAACTATACCACAAGCATAATTAAATTGAATTTATCATGTTAATCTAAACTCGACTTTAGTGACAAATTAACCACTAGGAACAAAAGGGTTTAGCTAAAATACATATTCTCAAATAATTTAGAGAATTGTTTAATATTATCAGAAGTAGCCGTGGTGGCAGTGGTTAAACTGCTCAGCTGCTGACTGAAAGGTCAATGGTTCAAACCCACCAACTGCCCTAGGGGAGAAAGATGTGGCAGTCTGCCGTAAAGATTAAAAAAACCAAACCAAACTTGTTCCTGTCGATTCCTCTCATAGAGACCCTACAGAAATTATACAGCGCAGTTCTACTCCTGTCCTATAGGGTCGCTATGAGTCGGAATCGACTCGCTAGCAATGGGTTTGGTTTTGATTTTTTAGTATTATCAAACAAACGACACAGCAAGAGTTTTTTCAAAGATTTATTGAAGCAGAAACAAGTTGGTCAGATATTTGCTGGAAAAAAGCAGTTTTAATGGTATTCAAAAATACTTTTACAAAAGTATTTTAGCACAAGACTTCTTCGTAAACTAGATTACGTTGTAAACTTTTTTCTAACTCTTTTAGGAGTGTTGGTTTTTAAGAACTAGAGCTTATTCCTATTCCAAATCTATCTTGCGCTCCTGAAAAACTGCAGAAAGGCACTTGAAAGCTGTTTCTTTAAGATATGGATTTCGTTTTTACTCTTGCTGGTAATATATTGCTACACCGAGTGTGCCCAATTTTCACTCAAGGTCTTCATGATGCTGAGAAGTTTCGTTGATAACCTGTTGGAACAATAAAACTCAAATCAGATATAACACTATATGCCAAAGATTAAATTATCCCATGAAACCTGAAAAGAAACATCCTACTAAAAATATATCATTTATTGTGAAAGCTGGAAGGTTATATTGGTTCTGCATGACAAGGGTTATAGCTACGAGTGACAGATACGTATGCAAGGTGCTCTTCACCTATATGCAAAGTACGTATTCAATGGAATGTCATGACTCTTAAAAAAATACTTTAAAAAAAAAGCTCTGCTTCTGAAAGATGTTTTAAAAATTAGATGCAGCAAAATTTAAAAGCAGTTAAGACATGAAAGTGTGTAGCAACATGGGCTAAATTTATGGACAAGTAAAGATTCAATGAAGATTAAAATAAATCTCGACCATTTCTTTTAGAGGTAACAAGAAACTAGTTGACATATAGCCAGTCCTTGTACTACATAAAAGAGCATAGGAATATTTAGGTGAATGTCAGAAGGGGAAGACCATGTGTCCAGGATTAAAACATTCCTGACATCAAAGTAGTCTAATGAAGCTAGTCTGGAAAGTAATTTAAGGAACGTTTACTCCCACTGAAAATAAAGCACCATAGCAAAAGCCTTCATTCTGGACTTCAGGAAGACTGCCATCTCACCTTCATATCTAAGAGTCAAATAATTAGTTGGCTGCATGCAGTGTTATTAGGAACAAAACAAAAACAAAAACATTGCTGTTGAGTTGATTCCAACTCATAGAGACCCTATAGGACAGAGAGAACTGCCCAATAGGGTTTCCAAGGACCAGTTGGTGGATCTGAACTGCAGACATTTTGGTTAGCAGCTGAGCTCTTAACCACTACACCACCAGGGATCCAGTACTGGAAGAAGAGGTGTATTATTTTTGTAGAAGGCATGAGTGAAACTGAAAGCTCCCAAATCAGCTAATTGTATCTGAGATACAGATTTATTGATTTAAAAGGGTATTAATTCCTGTCTGAGATTGTTCATTTTTTATTTAAAAGTTACCAACCTGTCCATCTCTAGTTTCAACTGTCTTAATCAGCAGTGTCCTTTTTGAGTGGGTGTCAACCAGAGGGAGTGAATCCAGATTGGTTTCTAAATAAAGAAACAGAGCAAATATGAGCACAAATAAAATGTAAATAAAACAAGTAACTGGTTTATTCAAAGAATCATGATCTTTGCAATTGTTTAAACTGCTTCTTTAGAGTGCTCCAAAATAGTTCTAAAAATATTTCTAAAGAATTCTGAACACTATTACTTATTTGAAAATCAAGTGCCTGACACCACTGTAGCATTATGATGAGACACAGTGCTTTAGTGTGTGCTCCATCAGGATGAATTTAAATGGAGTTTAAATTTAACTTGAAACACAAAATGTAAAACACTACCTGGTTTGAAAATTACACATTAAAAAAAATCTAGAGAATCTGAATAGAATCTTTTCTTGTATTTTTCAGATATCATACAAAACAAGTGCTTTCACATAAATAAAATGGTGGTAAGCTGCTGTAATTTTTGTAAGGGAAAATAAATGCTTACCCCGCAGATTCAGGGAAGAAAAGTTTGGAAGAGGCAGAGAAATCCTACAAAAGATGAAGGAAAATAGTAAAATTTTTGAAAATAACGTGAACCAGGAACAAACGTATGTATCTTTTGTTTTAATCAAATAAGAAAATTTACTTGAGTAACTGTTAAGTTAGGGATTTGCATTTACTCATGATTGGACTCATAACACATTTAAATGATTTTACTCTAAGCATTTTCTCCTCAGGGATATATACTGCAAGAAGGTGGGCTTTGACAGATAGCTCTGGCTTCAGATCCCAGCTCCACTATTGATTAACTCTGACTACAGCAAATTACTTGCTCTAAGTAACCATCTATAAAGAATGGAAAATATTTTGTTGTTGTTGTTAGGTGCCGTGGAGTCGGCTCCGACACGTAGCGACCCTATGTACAACAGAACGGAACACTGCCTGGTCCTATGCCACCCTCACAATCATTGCTATGTTTGAGCGCATTGTTGCAGGGAAGTATCTATCTTGCATAAATATTCTAAGGATTAAAAGAGACAATGCATTTAAAGTGGGTAACATAATACCTAGTAAACGGCAGGTATTAATTCACCCATAACCAAAACCAGTTGCCATCGATTCGATTCCAACTCATGGCAACCCCATGTGTGTCAGAGTGGAACTGTGCTCCACAGGGTTTTCAATGGCTGATTTTTTGAAAGTAGACTGCCATGTCTTTCTTCCAAGGCACCTGTAGGTGGACTTGAACTCCAACTTGTCAGTTAGCAGCTGAGCACATTAACTGTTTGCAACAGCCGGGGACTTCGAACATGTAAGTTTGTATTCTATACCTGCTCTCCTCGCCTTCCAGCAGCTTCCTGTAGGTGGCAATCTCAATGTCAAGGGCCATCTTAACATTCAGCAGATCTTGGTATTCACGAAGGTGACGAGCCATTTCTTCCTTCATGTTCTGAATCTCATCCTGCAGACGGCCAATAGTGTCTTGGTAGTTAGCAGCTTCAACAGCAAAGTTCTCCTCCATTTCACGCATCTGGCGCTCCAGAGATTCGTTCTGCAAGGGGTGAGAAAGGCTTCCAATGTTACTTCCCAGGGAAAATCCAACTAGTCTCAGAATTATTTATAGTCCATTTGTATAATATTCATTAGAAGCAAGTGGTGAGTACTCTAATTCTGGGTGGAGCATACTGGTACCAAAACTCTTCCTATTAGAAGCAATAAAATATTTATGCTAAAACCTTTGGATTTCAATTAGAGCTTTTTGAAACTATCCTCACAACTCATTTTCTTAGGATTAAAATATAAATTTTTCTTCACTTGAAGCTTTGTTCAGATATCACCATTGGCATTCTCAATTGAGTGAGTCCAAGTTGGTTAATTTTTCTGTTACTTCAGTGTGGTACTTACAGTTCCTTTAAGAGCATCCACTTCACAGGTGAGGGACTGGACCTGTCTCCGGTACTCGTTAGACTCCTGCTTCGCCTGGCGCAGGGCATCATTGTTCCGGTTAGCAGCCTCAGAAAGATCAGCAAACTGTCAGGAAGAAATCAGAATGTAGATTACCCATAGTCAAGTATTTTGAGTCTCAGGAAAATAAACTCTAATTCTGATTCTTTGTGTCTGAACACTTGGAGTTCTATGATTTGTGACCTAGTGGATATTAAATGACTTATATAGACATTCTCTAATATTCTTTTGGAGATTCCAACTTTCCTGGATAAATGAGAAAGCTTAAGATGGTAAAATAAATAAATAAGACATGATAGAAACCAAAGTTTATACTTTAAGTGCAAATATCACTGTCTTACAGAGTATGTCTACATTTCTGGTTTGAAAGCCAGAGAAAGAGCACTGGAATGCTGACATTGATATTCTTCAGTAGAATCTATCATCACATTATTCCATCTAAAAAGGGTGGAGGCCAAGGGTATGGTGTTGGGGTTTACTTTAAAGTAAGGCAAAAGAAATTTAGCGGAAAGGGAGTTTGCTGTTCCAAAGGAGGCAGTATGGGAGTGGTGAGGCTGTAGCAACAAACAAAATTTGAACAAGAAGTTAATGTCAGCTTTTTGACTGGAGTTAAATGATATTTAGGAATCACAGACAAGTAGAGTATTTTTCGAACGAAATACTTTTCTTTTGTTCCAGCCATACTGACTCGCATCATACCTTAGACTTGTACCATTCTTCAGCCTCCTGAAGATTCTTGGCAGCCACACTTTCATACTGCTGACGTACGTCACGCAGGGCGGCCGTGAGGTCGGGCTTAGAAACATCCACATCAACTTGGACATGCTGTTCTTGAATCTGGGCCTGCAGCTCCTGGATTTCCTGAAGAAAGAACAGATGGTCAGCCTTGCCAAGGATGGGAGCAGCTTCACCCACATTCATTCACCGAAAGTTATTCCACTTACCTCATCGTGCAGTTTCTTCAAAAAGGCAATCTCTTCTTGCAAGGATTCCACTTTACGCTCAAGGTCGAGACGTGCCAAAGAAGCGTTGTCAACATCCTATTTTAAAAAGAGTAAAGATAGGATGTAGAGGCTAAAGTCTATGGCTTATATCATTTATTTGTTCATTTTTAATTAATCATATTAACCTAGTTTGTTCACTATAGAAATGGTTTTGATAAATTCTATGGCCCTTGTGTAAGTCTGTAAATGTTCTAGTTTGTTATACTATGCTTTCTTCTCTGTGTTAATAAATTTGTATTTTGACCTACTGTGTTTATACTCAAGGTTGGCTAATAGAAAACTTAAAAATAAATATATATCATCAAGGTAAACTGCACTCAATCAATTATTATGGACTTTAGATTTTACCCGTAATGCTTTAAAAAAATTTTAATTAAAAAAATCAAGGCAACAACATTTTTTAAGATATGTGTATATGTTTAATATTATAGAATAGCATGAAAGGAGTTGTCAGATTACAAAAGTTCACACGTAGAACAGAAACTCACACTTTTAAATTTCAATGTATACCTAAGCTGTCTTTTTTTCTACTCAAATCTTCTGAAAATTATCCTTTGGAACCATATATTCATTTGGCATCCATGTTACAAAGTTTCATATGTATCAAGCAACAATTTAACACTAAAGTTCAGGATATGCACCTGCAAAGATGCAGCTCAAGCAAGTAAGGAAAATGAACTGTAGTTGCTTTGTTTTCTTTGGTGGGTTTTTGTCCTGAAACTCCCTTGTTTCATCCTATAAGAAGGGTGTGCTCATCCTCTTTACTCGCTGCTGTCAATTCAGTTACTCAGCCTGTTTCAGAATGACTGGTTAAAACACTTGCATATAATGAAACCATATATAGAATTCTTGCTGATCTTGCTCTCCTTTGTCCTCACCATTTGTAAATTGCTACATTCTAAATCAAAGTGCATACTCTTGAAACTAAGATTTTATTTCCCCCAAGGGATTCCATGAGGATTTTTATATACCTTGTCAGTAATTCTATTTAAGTACAATTTATAGCCTTATAGTCTTAAAATGTTGAGACACTTCCATCACTTTCATGGAAATGCAAATGAAGAATGGGTGACAGTGAAAAGATCCAAATTGGAAAAAATTTCATTTTAGCTTGCTGTTAAGCTCTAAAAGAGATATAAAAGATAGTTTACCAACCTCTAAAAAATGCCCTATGTGACATTCTACATCATTGAAGACAATGTGGGAAATTTTACTTATTCCCTAAAGAGAGGAACTTTTATATTAATATTGTTTTATGTTAACTCAACACTCTGCAGACATTACAGGTATGATCATAAATGCTCAACGACTAAAATGAATACCACACACTGTTGTGCATTGAAATTAATTTGGCAAATGTATTTCAGTTGCAAAATATTATCCTAGGCTATTCATCCTGGAGTGCTTTTACAGCCAATCCCAGTAAGTGTTCAGAATGAAACTGTGCTGGGAAATCTTCCTACTTTTAATTTCCAATTTGAAGTTACAATTCCTTTCAGTATATTTAACACTGGAGAAAAAAATCCTTTACTTAAAATTGTATTCATCAGCCTTAGGTTTCTTCTTTATTTATGGAGACAGTGCTAAAGAATACAAGAAGTTAATAAAGTCCTTTCAAAATCTGAGATGTGACTGTAGCTTTAAGAACTTTTCACCACCACATACTTCACAAGTCTGAGCCAGATATTAGATAACGGATATTAGGATGTTAGCAAATACTTGTGTCCAATTAGAACTGCACTTACATCATTACATATTCAATAAGAATGTAGCCTGTTGCAAAGCTTCTCTGGGAACACAAAGACTCCTATTATTTCTGTCCAGAGCCACCACATTTGCAGAATGTCTGTATCTGCATTCCATAGTGAATCCCATAGAAACCATTAATAGCCTTCAGCCAAGGGGACAGATGGCTCCTTTTCATCCTTATTAGATCACAAAATAGCTGAGCATAGCGATACTTCCATCTAACTTTAACGCCACAAAAGAGCTGGCAGAGAAGAAAAGAAACTTGCTGGCCTCATTCCAGTTAAACTAAGTTTCTCATCCTCCAACACCTTTTACGTGTTAAACTATAGGGCATAATCGTGCTTTTTGTGGCCTTGTAAAAGTTGGCCAACTTTAGCAAGCTACAATCTAAATCCAACCGTAACTGTTTAAAATCAGAATGTCAGTGCGTTGCAAAAAAGTGAAATAGCCTTATTTCCTTGAAAAAACTTTGAAACAAAGTAAAAAGTTAGACTGTCCTTACATCCTAAGGAAAGGCTAAAGTCCCTCAAGGGTTTTTATCTGGAAAAGCTCCAATTTGTAGTCTTTCTGCCACTAGGGGGCTTTACGCATAGATGTGAAGTTTTGCACGATTTGGACTTAGGTTAAGCAACTTTTAGAATTGTCAGTGGGTGGGCTGGGTGGATCCGATGGGGGCGAATGGGAAGGAAGTCTACAAACCTGTCTGAAAGATTGCAGGGTGCCTTCGGCTTCCTCTCTCTGCAGCATCTCCTCCTGCAACCTGAAACAGTTGCACATTAAGCAAAGGGGAACCTGGAAACCGCCAGCGCGAGGGCGGCCACACCCAACCACCAAGTCGCCGCGCCGCGAGACAACTGCCGCCTCCGCGGGCAGCCAGCGACTGCAGCTCTTGTACAACTGCAGCCCTCGGCAAGTTTTAGCGGGACCTCGGGCCGCAGCATGAAAAAGCAATCACAGTCGCCACTAGGACCTGCAAAGCGAAAGCCACCACTCCCGCCCCAGAGGCGACGACCATCCTTTGTCTTGCTTCCTCCACAGCTATTCTCTTCTCCTCCCTCCTCCCGGCCGCATTACTGGCAGCCCGCCAGCAGGCGCCAGGAAACTTTCTAAAAGTTTGGGCGAACCACTCTCATCGTTTCCAAGTGCCTGCAACTACAGACAAAGTGGTAGTTTTAAGAAATCCGATGCTTGAAACGCAGCGTTCTTGGGCAATGAGTGGGCGCAGAGGAGAAACGCTAGCTGCAAGGTCTGAATTTAGGAACCCCATGCAGCCACCGCCCCAAGGCGTGGCAGTCCCTCGCGGGGCGTCGTTCCCCTCTCCCTTCCTCCCGCGGCCTGCCGGGGCGTCGCCCCCCCAACCCCGCCCCGCAAATCGCATGGGCTCCTCCTTACTTCTCCCGGAGACGCGTGATGTCCTCGGCCAGGTTGTCGCGCTCCACCTCGACGCGGGCCTTGTCGTTGGTGAGCTGATCCACCTGCCGACGCAACTCCCGCATCTCCTCCTCGTAGAGGTCCCCCAGGCGTGACTTACCCTGGCCCTTGAGCTGCTCGAGCTCGGCCAGCAGGATCTTGTTCTGCTGCTCCAGGAAACGCACCTTGTCGATGTAGTTGGCGAATCGGTCATTGAGCTCCTGCAGCTCTACTTTCTCATTGGTACGGGTATTCTTGAACTCAGTGTTGATGGCGTCGGCCAGCGAGAAGTCCACGGAGTCCTGCAGCAGCCGCACACCGGGCACACTGCTCCGCAGGCGGACGGCCGAGGAGCGCGTGGCGAACACGCCACCCGGGGACGAGGCATAGAGGCTGCGGCTGGTGCTGGGGCGCAGCGCGCTGCCCAGGCTGTAGGTGCGGGTGGACGTGGTCACGTAGCTCCGGTTGGAGCTGGGCCGGCTAGCGGTGCCGGGGCCGCCGAACATCCGGCGGTAGGAGGATGAAGACACGGACCTGGAGGACATGGCTGCAGAGGGTGGCAGTGGGCTGGGCGGCTGCGACGGTACAGACTGACTCTGGGAGGAGAGGCGAGCAAGGGCGCGGTGGGTGTGTGCGGTGGAAGCACTCCTGCGTCTCTAGCGCGGGGATCCCGGAGCGAGAGTGGCAGAGGACCGGACCCAGCCAAGGGCGCAGTTTTTATAACCCTGTTAAGAAAGACGGTCCCCTCCCACCGCCATCCAAGCCGCGAAGCGCGCCAGCCAATGGGGACCCGGAGAGAAGCAGGGGGAGTGGACGGAGGTTTGGGGCGGGGGCGCCGTCGAGCCTTCCTTCTCCAGGCTCCCGGAGGCCCGGGACGGGGCAGGGTGCTGTTGCTTGTTGAGTTTGGTTGGGACTTTGGGGCTTTGCTTGTAATTGCCGAAGGTCTGCTCACCTCTGGGTGCAGAAAAAGGCGGGGGTCGTGCGGTGATTGGGGAAGCCGCCCCAGACTGGACAAGAACGGTCCCGGGCACCGCGCCAAAGCAACGTGGGAGGAGGCGCACGGGTGGGAGGGGCGCGCAGCGGCCGCTGGGCCACAGGGCTCCGCAGGCTGGGAGCCGGTGGTTGGAGAGACCCCAGGCCAAAGGAGCAGGAAGAGGGGGAGTAAACGATCGAGGATGTCCGAAGGCGGGGAGAAAGAAACAAAGAGCGCCTGAGATGGGAGCACAGGGTCGGGGCGCGGGCAGCGGAGGACTCAGGGCTTGGGCGCCGCGTAGCCTCGCGCACTGCCAGCTTCGAAAAGGGAACAATTAGGCCCTCGCCTTTTTTCTTCTTGTTGTCTTGGGGGTACTGTACAGGGACTTAATGGATTCCGTCCGGCTTTGGACGGCCCGAGCTGAGGCGGTGGCGGAGGAAAGCCTAGGGAAGAGGGGTGGCGTCTCTGAGTTACAGGCCACCGCTGCGCCCTGCTGGCCCACAGAGGTTTAGGGCGTCTAGCGGTTCGAGGGAAACCGTTAGACGAGATTGACCCAAGTCTCCGCGGGCCCCATACTCAGTGTTTGTTCTAAATCTTACCCTACTTAGAGCTAGGCGGTCGCTTTGATGTGTGCAGTCCAGGCGTGGGGAGCCAAGAGCAGCCCTAATTTTTAAGCTCGCCAAATCGTGATTTTGCTCTGATGTGCGACTTCTCTTTAGAAGGGAACTTCCCGCAGACCCTGGAGAGTCGCCAAACGCGGGTCTCCGGGATCACCAGTGCCCTCAGAAATGACTTTACTTACAAAGTTCCCTCCCACCCTTCACTCCAGTCTCCTCTCACTCCTGCCCCTCCCGCTATGAAACCACACCCTACTTTTAAAATGATCAGAAAGTTCTGGGTAAAAAAGGAAATTCAGCGTACGCAGTTTCAAAATCAAATTGAGAGATCACTTCTTTTTCTGCTGTAGTGGAAGTCATTAAAGGTATAATCTGAGCCAATTATAGAATTAATTAGGTGTTCCTTTAAATCTCTAATTTGATTAATAAGATCAAATGAAAGGCAGTTATGTAACTCAAACGACAGAATGTTGAAGGAAAATAGATTTATGTGTTAATTTTAGGACAGAGCTGAACAGTGCAGAATTCTGGTGACGTCGGGAAAATGTCTCAGGTTCTTGTGGTCTGTTGTTAGAGGAGGATTTGTGCATTTGGTCTTGGAGTGAGGGAGATCTAACTGTGGTCCATAACATCAAGAGATTCCATCACCTTAAGCTCTCTAGGTAAATTACTCAACTCAAAGGACTGTTCCAATACTAGTAAAATGTAGAATAGTTACCACCCAAAGGAAATGAAGGGAGGAAAGGGGAACCAGTCTTCTTGCAATTAAGCAGCAATTTAAAAATCGAAGCTTTCTTGAGTATTTAGAATACTTAGGGAGTACTGAAAAGATTAATTTCAGAACCACTGTGAAAATAGAAACACCTTGATTCTATTACTATAGACAGAAAAAACAAAGCAAAGTTTTTTCTCTCTCTTTTTTTGGAGGAGGCGGGGAGTACTGAAGGTTACCTGGCATTTAAGAAAAATAGTTTGGAGCCAAATGAAGGGGTTCATTCTATGTTTCTCCTAGGCAATATTTTGTTTACCTCATTTCAGTTAGCTCTGGCAAATGGCGCTGCCAAGGTCCAGCTGGAGGACCCTTTGCTGCCCAGCACTCCTACTGTGGCTTTCTTTTATTCCTTCATTCACTGGGATGCTGGGGTCACTCCCAAAGAGCATTCCTGGGACTCCATGCCTGGCAGAGGAACCTATGCTTCACGGTCCCATCTTGCTCTCTGAGAGCTGTTTATTCAAGCCACTGCTCAGCAAATGTCACCATTGTGAGGTTGCCTGGAACCATTAGGATGAGAAAAGCAATCTCTTTATAGGGGGCACAGAGGGTGGGCCTTACTCCTACATAAAATGCTGATCCCGGGGAAATGTGGTGGCTGGCGCTGTCAGGGGATGCTTGCTGACTGACTCACTACAGAAAATGAGGGCAAGGTTCTTGTGTGGTGTGGCAGTGTGCCCAGTCCATGTCCATAACTCATTCCTCAGGACTGTGGTAACTGCCTCTGGGATGGGCTCTTGCGCCGCTCATAATCTGAGGGGTATCCCTTCTCCTTCCACACCTGTCCCCATTCTGTGTTCTCAGGGCTGTGGTGGGCTGCTCTCTTGCCACAGCTGGTATGTTCACTTGCCATATGTCTGTGTGTATGTGTGTGTGTGTGTATGTATATTGTGTATGTGTATATATGTAGGTATATGTATATAATGAGGACCAGTGGTGGTTCAGTGATTAAATTCTCACCTTTCATGCAGGAGACCTGGGTTCATTTCCTGGCCAATGTAACTCATGCACAACCACTGCCTACTTGTCAGTGGAGGTGTGGGTGTTGCTGTGATGCTGAAGAGGTTTCAGTGGTGCTTCCAGGCTAAGACAGACTCAGAAGAACGGCCTGGTGATCTACTTCAGAAAAACTCAGCCAGTGAAAACCCTGTGGATCACAACGGTTTGATCCCATTGTGTGTGGGTCACAATGAATTGGGGGCTGACTGGACAGCAGCTAACAACAACAAATATGTATTATATATATATTACACACATATAATGTAATATATATCTTCCATCTTATTAGAAATTTCCATCATTTGCAGATGAACTATAGAGAGGTGAAGGCTACAAAAACAGTTTTATTCATTCATGTAGCATGCATGAGACTTAGGAAAGAATTAAATTTGTTCTTAGATGAAATATACTGTGCCTAGCACAGTGCCTGAAACAATGTGTTGTAGTCATCAGTGAGGGAAATACGTGTCTGAACTAACATCTTGCGAATGATAACTAATCCTCCTATATTTTACCTCTGTTTTTAGTTACCTTTTGGAAATAAACAGTACGTAAGCATAGCTTTCTCAGTTTTCATATTTATTTTTTGATGGCTATGAAAACCTATCTCGGAAGTATTTTTAAAGGCTAGGCTATGAAGCTGCTTTATACACTGTGTGATACAAGTTGTGTATAAATGAGGACCCAGTGGTACCGTTTGTAAGCCAGGCATAAACATTACCAAGTCTAAAGTACTAACAGTGATTTTGGAATTTGCAAGCTGTGGTGATGTCAGCTGAATTGGATGATTTGCACTAACTGACCAGCCAGCCATGCAGAGAGGAGCTTAGTGTCCTGTAGCAGCTTTAGGGAATCTGGCTCGCAGGAGGTCAGGCCACGAGGACAGCTTCCAGCAGAGTTGTCTGATGAAATGTTAGAAACGAGAAGGTGGATAAAGTGACATGGTGAAAAACATGGCAAAACCTAAAAGTCATGGCAATAAAGATAATAACAAATAATATAATAAACCAAAGACCAAACCCATTGCCACTGAGTTGATTCTGACTCATAGCAACTCTATAGGACAGAGTAGAACTGCTCGATAGGGCTGCCCAGGAGCGGCTGGTGGATTTGAACTGCTGACCTTTTGGTTAGCAGCCCAAGCTCCTAACCACTGCACCACCAGAGCTCCAAATAATGTAACTGCTTTAATTTTTGTACCTACTGAATAGTCACTTTGTACGTACTTAATTTAATGCTCTCTCAGCATCCTGCAAGATAGATTTGATCATTTTACAGGTAAGTTTAAGACTCAGGCTAACAACTTGCTCAGGGTCTTGTAACTAGTAAGGGGGCGAGAGGAGGGAGAAAGGGAACAAAAATTTGAGTTGAGGCCTTTCTGACTCTAAATGCATGTCTTTTCTCTTGTCCTTGAAGACTAAATTTTGCTTACTCTGAACCAATTCAATTCACAAATACTAATTAGGGGCCTACTGTGTTCCAGAATGATTAATACAGATTTTGCTGGGAAAGAGAAGATTCTTAGCAGAGTTTGGCAGACACTCAGAATATAATGTTTTGTGTCACACAGATAATGTAACAATGATTGATAACAGTCAGATAAGAAGGGGGGTTCATTTTTACCTGAGCTCGAAATCCGAACTTTCATCTGTGAGTTAAACATTTTCACCTAGATTCCTTTCTATCTGTTCAGAGGTATCAGATCCAAAATTTAATTTCGCTCATCTCATATCCTAAAACCCACCAACCAAGAACAGCTTCCCCTCCCAACTTCCCTAACTATTAAGGACAACACAGCAAACCACCGAGATTGGAAACATTCATCATCTTTACCACTTCCTTATTCTTTATCGCTCAGATCCAAAGAGTATCATGTCCCATTGCTTCTTGTATGCACTCTTATGGTGCTGTCACTCACGTCCAAGCCATTTTGTACTTTCCCTGCAATAATGCAATTGACTCCCCTTCCCCCAGGGTATCACTTCCCTCACCAATGCATCTCTCTTGGAGCTGGACCCCCTCCTCTTTTTTTGAAAACTGCGCTCTCAGGACTCCCAGATGAACCAAAGTGAATCACTCATTCCATCCCTAGAATGTAAGCTCCAGTAGGGCAAGAATTCTCCTCTGTTTTGTCCACCATTGTATCTCCAGTGGTGATAGAATGCCACTTTATATACTTCCCAATTCTTTTACTAGGCTACAAGCTGCCTGGTAGGCCTTACTTACCTAAATATACTATGAAGTGTTGCGGGCAGAACAGAAAATTAAAACACCTGTCTGTTAAACGGAATATGAGGAATAGCCTGAGCAGAACTTGGCACATTTGTT